TGACATTGTTATATACCATTTTATAGCTTAAACATCCGGCTTTTATAAAATGTATATATTTCTGTATAACTATCATGCCGTTTGCATTTTAAGCTGTTAATAAAAAGGTATTTTTTTTTCAAGTTTTTTTTTTTTTGTTGTTTTTTAATTCAATAATATTTTTTGTGTTAGTAATACGCATAAAATTGGTATTATTTATTAAAACTTCATTTTTTTATTGAATAATTAAATAAAACTAAGTATTATCTATCAAATGAGCTATTGCAAAATTATTTTACACGTAAGCTAAATCAAATAAATTGATTTCTAATGATGGCGTATTTAAAGCACTTTTTTAAGTGAAAATTTCACTTAAATAATGAAATATTTTTGAGCTCCAAGACGCTCCAGAAATTTGAGCCTTAAAATATCTTGCCTAATATGTGCATTATAAATATATATTTTACCTATTGTCGGCGGGTGTCAGCTGCGTCTCTATTAATGATTTTTACAAGTTTCAACTTTGGGGCAGGGGGGCAACATTCTGGCTTTTCTTTGTGTTTCCAGGCTCCAATTATCACAATTTTTTAGCAAATCATATTTATATCACATTAAAATAAACATATAAATATTTGGAATTTGTTTTATCTCCAAACGTCTCATAAATAGTATATTTTTTGTATTTGTAGGCTGAAAATGAAATATTTTGATATCTATGCATTCATTATGCATAAGCCTAATAATCTACAAATATCTGACTCTGGCATTGTGGACAAACTTATTGATGCTATGAATTTGGATTGCAACAAGCAGCAATTAGGAACTATAATAACGCATCTACAAGATAAGTGGCGCAAGTCATATTGCAGCATGGCTCGATTTGAAGAAAATAACAAAAAATGGCTGCAAAGCCAAGTTCCTGAAAATTTAAATGTAACACCAATACCTATTGGAAGACCAAATAAGACAAACTTTGATGACTACTCTACTAAAACCAAAAAACATAAAGTTAGTCACTTAACTGAAATGTATTCTGCTTCTGCATTACAATTTGCTTCAGAAATTATATGGAGAAAAGAAAACCAAACTGAAAAAACCTCAAAAAAAGATTGTAGAATGTCAAAAGATGAAGCTCTTTGTCTTTTTTTAGATGCTAGATTGACAAAAGCTTCCTACCAAATTATTCGAAATCAAGCAGTTGAAATGGGAGTTGATATATATTCTCGATATAATGATGTTCGGGATGCAAAGCTGTTATGTTATCCTGCAGATATATCTGTCTCAGACTTTTCAGCTGAAATAAAACTGCAAGCTTTGGTCGATCATACAACAAATAGAATATGCAAGGCACAGTATGATGTCTTTAGCACTGAAGGCACTCCAGATAGACTTTCTCTGAGATACAAAATAGGCTTTGATGGTGCCACAGGACAGTCTATATATAAACAAATATCGCAAGGAACAGTAATAAGAAATTAAAACAATTAACAGGCACTTTTTATTACTTGCCTAGTGCCATTAGACTTGTGTGGTTTTTCAAATGGAAAACAGTACCCAGCTTGACAAAATCCCCGACCATCATCAACAATGTACTGTAGACCTCTGCGTTTTAAATTTGAAAAAGAAACAGCAGCAGTTTCTAAATCAGAATTGGATCTCATTAGGGTTGAGATTTCAAACTTGCAAGATACTGAAGTTGATATAAATAATAGAAAAATCGAAATACATCATATAATACAAATTATTATGATTGATGGAAAAGTTCATACTGCTCTTTCAGATGTTACAAATTCATGTCAATGCTGTACTATATGTGGGGCAAGTCCTAAAGCAATGAATGATATTGAAAAAATGGTTTTGAAAAAAGGTATGGCAGGTAGTTATTCCTTTGGTTTATCATCCTTACATGCTTGGATACGATTTTTTGAATGTTTATTACATATTGGATATAACTTTAAAAAAGTGGCAGGCAAGAACAGCAGAAGATAAATCTAAAGTAAAGGCTCTGAAATAACAAATTCAAAATAGATTTAAAGATGAAATGGGCTTGATAGTTGATGTTCCGAAATCTGGTGGTAGTGGAACATCAAATTATGGAAATACAGCTCGAAGAGCGTTTCAAAATGCGGAAAAGTTTGCAGAAGTTTTAAATATTGATGTTGAACTGATTTTAAATTTGCATATTATATTGGCAACAATTTCATGTGGTTTAGATATTGACACTGATAAATTTGAGGCTTTCTGTTTAAAAACAGCTCGACTTTATGTTCATTATTATCCTTGGTACTATATGCCACAATCTCTCCACAAAATTTTAATCCATGGTTCTGAAATTATCAAAAGTTTAGCATTACCCATTGGTATGTATTCTGAAGAAGCTCAAGAAGCAATAAAGACTTTTAAAACTATTGTGAACATTTTGCAAGAAAATCATCTCATGTGAAAACTAATCAAGATTTGTTAAATCGACTTCTGTGTACATCTGATCCATTTATTGCATCTCTGAAAAAGACAGCAGGAAATCACACCAAAACGAAAAACTTACCAGCTGGAGTTATTGACTTATTGAGGTCATCCACAGATGATATTAGTTTATAAATGTATCTTTTAAATCTTTATAATTTTGGAAATGTCTGTACCTATATGAAAGTGTGACTGTAAATTAAAACAATTAGTTATGCTCAATCCTATTAGAATCATCAAATTAATTTGCATACCAATTTTAGAAATTTTTGGCTAAAAATAACTCTTAGGAACTAAGCATAAATAACTATTGCTATGCAAATGGGGTTGCCTTGGCAACCACACCAAAAAACAATGCTCATTTAAATTATAATCATTCAATTAATTTATATACTATGGATGAAAGGAAAAAAAGTTATGACTTTTTTCCAAAAATATGGGATTCTGGCCCACTGTGCAGTGTAACACTACTAGAGGATAAAAAAAATGCATTTAATAATAGAAGTTAATACATACAGCTGAATATGAACAATTTAAATTCAGTTTTTTAGAAAAACAATCCCCCCCCCCCATTTCATAAAGAAAAATCAAATGACGTCACGCTGGGGGAGGTTGTTGGGTAGGTCTAGGAAAATGTGACCAAATATGACAGGATGGGTGGGTGGTTCAAAAATAGCCATTTTTAGCGTTATGTAATTATGCAATGACCCCTCAACAACATTTTATTTAAAAATACATAATATTTATGATGGTGTTGGTTATTCCTACATCCCTCGCAATATAAGGAGCTCTGCTGCTTTTTCAATGCATAAGAGAAATGTTCTTTTATATGCTCTTTAACTTGTATTCTTAGATAATTTATATAAAATAATACAACTCATTATTTGGAATGCTACTCAATTTTAAATAAAGATTTATAAATTAAAAAGATATATGCATTTATATTATATTGCATTATATATATATATATATATATATATATATATATATATATATATATATATATATATATATATATATCAGGCTTTCCCAGGAAAAGCGTGCGGTCGCACGCCTTGTTTGTCCACGCATATAATAAATTTTTCAGAAAACGTGACCGCGGCAATATTTCGTGGGAAAGCGGAAATTATCCACAGAGAATAAAAAATAATTTTAAAAAAAGGAAACGAAGTCTAAACAAAGTATAAAATTGAAATTGGATGTAAGAAAAATATTTTGATAATAAAAAAAAAAAATAATTCTTGTAACAAAAAAAAAAAAAAAAGTCTTGAACATTTTTTTCAAAATTTTTATACTGTTTTTTTTTTTTTTTTTCAGGGTTGCTATTTTCAGCTACGAAATTTGATACAAGTCAAGGAAAAGACGACGATAAGTCATAAAGTTTTCACGAAAATAAAAAGACTTGATACGTAATTTATTCACGAACTTTATCAGACTATGTATTAAAAAACTGATTCATTATTTACGCTAGACAAATTTGGTTAAACTTTTTCATTTAATTTAGTTTTTACGAAGGTTTATGCAAAGGCGATGACTTTATTCCCCAATACTTAGACAAGAAAATAAATTGCTGTTTTAATTATTAAATATATTATTTGAGATTTTAAACATAACAAAATTTTGATGTGAAAAATGTTCTTTCTCGACTTATTCTAAACTGATTATATTGAGTCAATGCTCGCCTTTTATTACATTGAAATTATTCAATTGCATAATTTTGTAATTGCGAAAGAAGTTAAAAAAATAATTGCATTGCTTCTGTTGTCATTGTTACAAAAACAGTTCCTTCGGGACATTATTATATATTAACACTTGTTCACAATGTCAATTAATGATTGCAAAATAAGTAACTCAATCGTTTGACAATAAAATTTTCTTTCATTTAAAAAAATATATATATTTTACTAATATATAGCAATCGTTTTCGTGTTTTCTTGCATATCAATACATTCAAACATTTAAATCAATACATTTAAACATTTAAATGTATTTACGAAACATTTAAAAATTGTTTATAGTTCTATCGTGAATTTTAAAGTATTACTGACTGATAAAAGTCATTGATAAACAAATTTTACATTAAAAGGTTTTTTTATTTTCTTTAAACATTATTCTTTTTCTTTTTGATTTGATTTTTCTTATTGATTTGATTTTTCATAGCTAAAATAACTACAGATAAATTTTTTTTTTAATAATATACATTAATTTTTTAATTTTAAAGCACAAACAGATTTCTGTTATTTACTTTAAGGTTGCTTGCATTTTTGCAGTATTTTCGTTTAGCTTTGTTTTGGCGCGAATTCTTGAAATGCATAATAATAAAACGTGGTCAGTTAGTCAGAAAAATTTATTCTATGCTTGGACAAACAAGGCGTGTGACCGCACGCCTTTCCTGGGAAAGCCTGATATATATATATATATATATATATATATATATATATATATATATATATATATATATATATATATATATATATATATATATATATATATATAGTACTAATAACATTATTACAAGTACAAATTATTAAAATTAATACAAGTTTCAAAAATATTACCGGCCTACAAAATTTTCAAGAACACTACTTTTTCCTGCACTTTGTCCACCAACAACTGCAATCTGTGGCAAATCAATTGGTGACTCTATACCAATTTGTGCAAAAGCATCTTGAAGCTTGTTAACAATAGGGATCAAATCTTCCATACCACGATTCCCCATTAAAATATTCTTAATAACTTTAAGTCAAAAAATAAAAAAATCTTTTGGATCATCATCACGTGCATGATCATAATTATAACGATGATAATATATGATAAAAATCACACAAATATGTTATATTTGGGTGATAATTAGTGATGTGCCATCGGCTAAGGCCGATTAAGGCTAATAATAGTTTAATGTATTTATTTAAGGGTATTATAATTATATTAAAGGTTTAAATTACATATTCAATATGTACCTATTTATCAGAAGTGATTCGACCTATTAGCCTATGCTATTAGTAACCAGCAACCAATTAATCGGCTTAACCATTGGCCGATTAATCAGCTGATGGCATTGGTTGATTAATCAGCATTTGCCAATGCATCAGTATTGGATAATAAGCCAAATCAAACTGGTGCATAGGCATACCTTATATATACAAATTGCATACCTAATATTAGGGTATTATCTTTATAAACATACATTAAACCCTATTATTAGTCTTAATCGGCCTTAGCCGATGGCACATCACTAGTGATAATATTTTATATATATATATATATATATATATATATATATATATATATATATATATATATATATATATATATATATATATATATATATATATAGTACTCGAAGTGAGGTGGGATGCGGCGGGATGCCATCCCGTCAACTTTTTATAAAGTATAAACCATCCCGTCACCTTTTTATAAATCTCTATATATAACAATGATTAGGCGGGATGGTATTTTTAATTTACCGAATACCATCCTGTTACTTTTTTTTCTCCACTTTGAGCACTGTATATATATATATATATATATATATATATATATATATATATATATATATATATATATATATATATATATATATATACATATACATATATGTATACATAGATATATATATATATACATATACATATATATATGTATATATATATATATATATATATATATATATATATATATATATATATATATATATATATATATATATATATATATATATATATATATATATATATATATATATATATATATGTACACACATGTACACAATACCACATACTCTAACATAAAAGATACAAAATACAAAATTTAACATAGAAGCATTTTAATTATGTATTCAAATTTTTCTTGTTTGATGTGGGATAATCACTTATACCATTTTTTTTTTTTTTTGTCCATATTAAGTTGCTTTTCACATGTTTCAAAGAATAGTCTGATTAGGTCAAGTAAATATTGTAACAAAAACAAAATAAATTAACATATTTGATAATCAAATGAATATGAATAAAAAAAGATTGTGAAATTTAATTTTAAAATTTTTATTCCTATTAAGATTCAAATTTTTAATTTGTTTTTATAAATAAACTTTGACAAACTTTAAATAAATAAACATGAACAAGACAAAAATTTATTGCAAAGTCAGGAATGAGTAAATAGAAAATACTTGAAAGTGATCATATGGAGAGTGTGAGAACGCATTTGGAGCAAACTCTAATGTTTGTACAGTTGTAAACAATGGATTCACAAGAGTTGCAATGGTAAACAAGGTGCTTTTAATATTATTGGTTTGAGTGTAGAAAATATACTTTTGTTAAATACAGAAATGAGATTGAAAAAAAATAGTGGTGAAAGATTATGTTAGTAAATTTTGTTATCTTGGATAATTGGATAAGTTGTTAGATCAGAAAAAATATCAAGAAGAGGAATAAGGTGTGCCTGGACCAACTTTAGATATTATCTCCACTTCTAACAACAAAATGTGTATCACTAAAGATTAAAGAAAGATAACCACAAGCATGCATTGTAACTTTTGTATTATTTTGTAAACTATATGAAATACTTATAAATTCTGATGTTGTTTAAAAAAAAAATTATAAAGCAGTAGGACAGAAGCTTGAAATAAAAAAATCCATGTGGGGCAAACAAACTTACTGAAAATTCACCTCAAATGTTTAAGAAAGGAAGAGAAAAAATTTAAGGTCATGTTTTACTTGATTAAAAAACAGATCCAGTGACATAAGAAGAATTTTTGATATTTCTGATACGACTCTTTCAGGCATTGTGCAAACTCTATACTTCAGTATCTTCACGCTTATGGTAAACGACAACTTTTAGCAACAGGTTTCAATTCTATATAAAAAAATTTTAGTATTAGATAGTTGTGATCATGTAAAAGTTACAACCCCTCATTTTGGGGAGAATGGAAACTTTTGTAGTCATAACTTTTGAACACTAATAGATTATTAGACAAAATTTAAATAACTTTTGTTCATAAATTTAACTTCTGTCTGAATTTAATTATCTGTCTATTTTATCTGTCCAATTTAACTTTTTATTTAACAAGTAATTTTAACTTTGATTGTAAAAAAAATATTTTATCAACGTCACATCACAGTCACAGTCGAGAAATGGGCTGTAAACTTTTAAAAGTATTTTTGTTCCAAAGCTCCAATTACCAGAATTTTGTGAAAAACACTTTCATTTGACATAAGTATGAACATACTTAAGTTTGGAGTTTTCACAATGCCTGAAAATATCATGTTTTGAATCTGAAAATCCTGCCCACACCACTGCTCTGATCATAAAAATTACAAAAATATATACTTTCAAAATATAAATTAAGAAAAAAACAACTTATTTTCCTTCTTCTGTAAAAAAAGATTCTAAAAATTTAGATATAAACACAACAGAAATAATTGGAAGATTTTTTAACTCATCATCTGTGAATGTTCTTGTTACAAACTCCTCAAACTGCTCAATTATGTAAGCTTCAAAATATGAACTTTCAGAATCATTAGAACAAATCAAAGCAGGAAATGTTCCACTTAGTTCTTGGTATTTCACAAAAAGTTTATCTTTTAACTTTATTACTTCAAGAGTGTCATTTATCTTAAAATGAATAACAACTTTTTTTAATTTACAATTTGAAATTATAAAATCAGTTTTTAAAAAAAGTTTTTCCAATATAGGTAAATAAGGTAAAACTTCTCCATAATGAAATATAAAATTTGCTTGACTATAAAAATGTATTAACAATTTAATCTTGTTGTAAAACTGAATTTGCTCACAGAAATCTGCTAGGCCACTGTACAGATTTAACATGTTGAACAGTTTTAGAACTCCTGGTTGCTTAGAAAATGTTCCCAAGCTTTTATAAAAGTTATTTTCAATATTTTTATAAGACAAAATGATTGCATCTTCTGAAAATATTGCTAAGTTTTTAATGTCACATTTCATTGAAATTTGATTGCATTGTAAATACTTGATTTTTTCTACAATGTTAACTAAATCGAATAAATCAACAAGCTTGACTATTTCACCATTGAAATATAACTCTTCAATCAAGCAACTAAAAAAGAAATAAAATATATTAATTTTTGCATTATTATTTTTTTAATTTTAATTGACCTCCCCAAGGCTGAGAAGGCCACTACAGACAAGGAGGCTACTTAATTGTGGTTATAACCATGTGAATGTGGTGGGGATCAAACTCGGAACCTCTCTCTTATAAAGCGAGTGCTTTACCACAACACCACTACCGCATATAATATATATTTAACTTAAGAGATTGGTATAACAAATGTGTATAACATTTATAACTATAAATGTTATACACATTTCAAAAAAAAAAATTTTTTAGTTTTTAACAAATGTTCTTTGGGATAAAAAGAACAACTTCTCTGAAATTGATTCTATATATATATATATATATATATATATATATATATATATATATATATATATATATATATATATATATATATATATATATATATATATATATATATATATATATACACTTATTAAAGCGTGTTTTGATAAGCATTTGCTCACTTTTTCTGCTTACCTTAAGCTGTACCATTTTTTTCGAAAAAGAAGAAAAAAAAACGAAGAATGATAAATAAAACGATTGCTGCCCGATCCCAAACCCTCAGTCGATGTAGCAGCACTCCACTGCGAGTCAGGCTATTTGTCAGTCGATGTATGTACTGAAGCCCCCAGCAGCAGGCTATTTTAGTATGATTATATTTTATCAGATTGCTTACCTTAGTACGCAATACTATTTGTATATATATATATATATATATATATATATATATATATATATATATATATATATATATATATATATATAAATATATATATATATATATATATATATATATATTCAATTGCATCTGCAATTACTAAGAGTTAGTTCAGCAAACTTAACATTCATTTTGTGACCTTGAAAATAAATATTTTATTGAGATTTTATTTGCTGATTTCAATTCTTCCTCTTCTTGTTTTTAATATAGAGCTTTAATATAACTGAATTTAATGAATTTTCCATCACAATCCTTAAGTACCTCTAAATCACATAACATAATTCTAGCTAATTTTAGCATATGACTTGAGTCAGAGATTGCCTACAAGTAGTGATTATAGCTTTCAAATGTGAATCTTTCATTAATTTTTTCTAGTCTTTCCCTAAATGTACATCCTAGTGATGCAACAGAATTAAAGCTAACATTTACACCATCAAATGTAATGCTACGTACATTTATTTTTTTATCATAAGAAATTTTTAATGTTTTTTAGTTATTTTAAAGACATGAAAGGTTTTCGGCTGTTATTTCACTACACAGCATATAGCCAATAGATGTTTTCCAACCAAAACACCTAATGCTTCTGTAGCTGGTGTATCTGTTTGAATTCCAACAATATCTTTTCTATAATCTGTAAAGCTAATGAATCTACCTGTCTTTTTATTATTTAGAACTGATACTTTGATTGCCATAGCATCTATAATTATTGCGATCTTTATTATTAATGTAAGCCTTTGCTTTTATACAAATATAACTTTAAACATCTTCAAAAAAAAACAGGTTCACAATCTACAGAAGAAATTCAGTTAGCTAAAGAGCTTGAAGCAGGTAAATGGAGTTTAAACATTTCATTTTTTGTATATATTGTAAAATGTAAATAATAAAAAGTGATAAATGATGTGATTTACATTTTTTAAACGCTAATCTTTGAAAAAAGTTTTTGCATGCTACTTTTTATCATAAGGATTTGTTACCATAGTAACATACCATAGTAAATTGCAAGAAAAAAATTGCAATAGAAAATTTCAAGAGTAAAACTTAAAATGAAAATACTTGAAGAATTTAAAAAACAATGCGGTAGTAGATTAGTTGTAAAACTTTCAGCTCACAACCAAGAGTTTCAAGGTTTAAATCCACCTTAAGCCTCTAGAAGTACTGTTTTCAACCTGTTTTTTTTTTGAAAATGAATCTTTAACTGTAGTACTGAAAACTAAAAGAGGGCTACTAAACTGTAGTAGCCCTCTCTACAATTTCTTTAATTACTTAACACCTTTAGAATTACTTAAATCAAAGTTTTGAATTTAAATTTCAAACAATCAACCATCTAAAATTAGGTTTTTAATTTAAATTTCAAACAATTAATTACTTGAGTTTGAGTTTTGAATTTAAATTTTAAATAATGAATTACTTAAATATTAGGTTTTGAATTTAAAACAATTGGTTACTTGATTATCAAATCTAGATTTTTTGTTTTTTTGAATATTTTATTTGAATTTTTGTTTGGAATCCATTACTTAAGTATTAAATCTTGAATTTAGGATTTGAGCAAACCGAAATTAGAGCAATTAAATCAAAAATGAAATAAAATTTAGTATCAAAAACTAAAAAGAAAAAAAATTATTATTTATTCTACATTAATTATGCTTTACATTATTGTTATTATTATAAATTTGTTGTGTAGTGCTGTTATTAAAGTTTAAGTAAATCTTTTTAAGGGTTGAATTTATCGGATATTAAAGTTTAAGTGAATAAGGGTTGAATCTATCGGATATTAAAGTTCAAGTGAATAAGGGTTGAATCTATCGGATATTAAAGTTTAGGTGAATAAGGAATCTATTGGATATTAAAGTTTAAGTGAATAAGGGTTGAATCTATCAGATATTAAAGTTTAAGTGAATAAGGAATCTATCAGATATTAAAGTTCAAGTGAATAAGGAATCTATCGGATATTAAAGTTTAAGTGAATAAGGGTTGAATCTATCGGATATTAAAGTTTAAGTGAATAAGGAATCTATCGGATATTAAAGTTTAAGTGAATAAGGGTTGAATCTATTGGATATTAGGTATGTTTTTTTTGTTTGTTCGTTTGTTTGTTATTCACCTCCTCAAGGCCGAGAAGGCCACTACAGATGAGGAGGCTACTTAATAGTGGTTATAACCCTCTCTCAACTCTATAACTCCAAAACACGAACCTTGACAAACAAGGCCGCTGCGCAGAGAAACAAGTTGAGCGCGGTACTACCAGGGACGTGGTGGGAATCGAACTTGGAACCTCTCGCTTATGAAGCGAGTGTTTTACCACTACACCACTACCGCATGTAGTCTTGCAAGTTTTTATATTTTAGTTGATATAAAATTTTAGAAATAAAAATGCTAAAATTGAATAAATACTAAATAATTTAAATTTCATTTTCATAATTCTTCCTGCATTTTAACAAAAGAATTGCTGATTAAAAGAACTAAATAGATATTTTTGTTTACAAAAAAATTTTATAGAAAAAAAATTATACTAACTCAAAAAAAAAAAAAAAAGTTAATTTAAAATCTTTAAAATCAATTAAGATTTTAAAAACCAATTGAAAATAAAAAATTTATAACTACTTTTTTTAAAAGCTTGTTTTAACATTCCCATTAAAAAAATTGTACCCAAAAATTAAGAGCCAAGTATTATTGTTATCACCCTATGTGATAACAATAATACTTGTTACACCCTAAATCAATACACATGTGTACCAATAGTTTATACTATACCAACAGTTAAATAATAGGTTTACTAACAGTTTATGTTAACCCAAATCATTTAAACACACAATCTGTGAAGCAATTCAAGTGAAAAACAAAATTATTAATTCAAGTTATAAAAATGGTTATTATATAAACTTTTATTAATATTTATAAAATTATATAGAAATTATATATCTATGTTCAATAAAATATTTTACCACTTACTATTAAAAACAACAATCAGACATTCTGCCAGACAAAATAAATGCTGATTGATTGCCTGCCCTTCAGGGATATGATAAGCTAGCAGGTACTTACTTTGAGCTGTTTAAAGGAACTTAATTAAAAAAAAAAAAGATCAAATCAACTACATTGCTTTTTATTATTGTTAAATGAAACTAATAATGAACACTACCTTAAATCATGTGACATTGTATAAAGAATTATTGGCTTAAAATAAAACATTGAATAAACTACTACAAGACTTAAAATAAATCAAGACATTAACTTTCCTCTGACCATATTATAAAAATAGTAACTAATGAGTGCAAAACGTACAATCATTAAGTACTATATCTTATATAATATAAAATGGTAGCAATGTATAAACTTTCTTATTTTCTTTAAAGTATAAACAATAATAGTATATGGAACATATAAAACTTAATTTTAAAGCAATTAACTACAAAGCTAGTGTACCTATTTGAACATATTTTACAAGGTAGATAAATCTCTTGCTTGTTTTCTTCCATAAAGTAAATTACACATCTTAAATGTGAACATGTTTTACTTTTATAGTTAGTTAAAATACATGTTTTATTATCATCAGTAAAAACAAATAAGGTTTGAATCTCAGTGTAATATCTAGCAGGTAAAACTAAAACAGAATCTGATATATTTAAAAAATTGTTTAAAGATTGCAAAAATAGTTTTTTAACACCACTTGATAAATAACTATCATAAATAATCCAATTTTGAAGCAACTCTTTATTTAACAATGCTTTATGAAACATTGTAACAGATAAAAACAATGCATTCCTAAACATTTCACTTTGTGGTATATTGCAAAGGTTAAAGTTTTGAGAGATAGTCTTCATTGTCTGTAATGTAATAGCTTGTTGCAAATTATTTATAGAGAAGCAACTTCTTACTAGAAACAACAACTTTTCGTTGATTTGTGAAACATTAATTAGAGAGTCAAGATCTAAATATCGAAGAACTCTCACTAAACAATCTGTGTTAAGGTCAAGAAAGTGCATTTCAATTTCTAAAATAAAAAGTTTTCATATTATTTTATGTATTTACTTTAATTAAATAGTTGATGAACAATTAAACTGTTTAGTTGAAAAGTTTAAATGCAAAAAACATTCAAAAAATAATTTTAAATTTTTTTTGCATTTAAACATCATAACTCGTTTATTTTAAACAGAGAAAAGATTCAAAAACTTTAATATAACGCTTGTATCTATTTATTAATATTTAAATATTTAAAAAGTTATAAAAAAAAGTCGATAAAAAAAACCCAGCAGTATAACAACAATTTTATTTGATTCAAATTTTATTAAAATATTTTGTAAGTTAGCTAGGAACAGGTCATTTACTTCTATTATAAGATTATTTATTTTTTATAGTAGAATCAAAATCCCGAAGCCGTTTTATAAAATCTTAAATATGTAGCCCGAAAAAAATTTGACAAGCAGACATTGTAGCTTGTAGTGGGTGTGTATTTTTACTGTCGCCGGAATAATGTCGCTAAAATTACTACACATATTAAATTAAAAGTACTAGTTTAAATAAAATTTAAACTAATTAAATATTGGATGAACATTAAATATACGTTCATTTTATTGTGTCTATTCCTCTCTACTATTCAATCAAAAGTATATCTCTATCTGTTAGTCGGAATCTGGTTTTATACAAAGTTTATTTAAAACATTAGTTTATGACGGTATTTTAGTAGACGGTAAATCAAAACATATCTATTAATTTGTCTTTCGGACAAGCTCTTACAAAACCAGGAAAATGAAAGTTAAGGTGAGTTTCCACTCATCCGTTTTTCTACGGGAACGGGATAGGAAAGGGAAAAATAATCACTTGAGCATGCGCAGTTTTAATTCGGACAAACTAAAACTTATAATACGCCCATGTGATTATTTTTCCCGTTCCCGTGAAAAAACGGATGAGTGGAAACTCACCTTTATAATTATGCTATTTTAGTGCGCAAGTAGAAGACTGGTTCTCCTAGAGACGCCTTTAGGTTAATGAGTGTAATTTTTCATCGGTGAACATAATTGAACTTTTGAAAACTGTATATGAAAATATGGTCCTTTGTGCACTTTTGATGAGAATCTCTGCTTTATAATACAATTTTTTAGTACTTTTTTTTAGCCGCAAAATGATGTCTGACTTTGTCCCGTAGGTACAACATGGGGTTGTACCTAGGGACATAGGTGGTTGTACCTAGGGACGGCGGTTGTACCTTGGGACGCTGGGTAATCGAATGCTCAGATTGGCTTCTATTGAGCTAATAATTATAAATAAAAAAGAACCTGTAAAAAAACCTGAAAGGAAACTAAAACAATGATATAGATCGTTAAAAGAACTATTTATTTGTAGTGAAGGTAACAATATTACTTAAAATAGTTAACACTAATAAATAAAAAATAGTGAGATCAATTTTTCCAGAACAAACAAATATTTAAATTGTAAATAAACATTACATTTAAAATAGTTAACATTAGTAGATGAAAAAAAGTGATATCAATTTTTCCAGTTCAAAAAGTGATTGAATTGAAAAGCAGCAATATATTTTGAACAGTTAAAACTTATAGATAAAAGTGTAACATCAGCATATCCACGATGAAAATACTTTAATTAAGAAACAACAGTGTTTAAAATAAAATAGTTAATAATTATAGGTCAAAAAGAATGATACTAATTTTTCCAGAATAAAAATACTTTAATTGAGAAGAATCTTCATTACAAGACTGGTTCGTTGCGTTTTGGGTTCGTGGGTTCGACTGGTTCGTGGGTTGTCTTTTTTGTTTTCAATTTATATTTTTTAGAAACTTTATTTTTTGGTGGTATTTCCCGTTTTTTTTTTTTCGATTTATCGTTAGAAGTTGTTTTCTTGCTTTTCCTCTCCTCTATTTCCTTTTTTTCTGGCGTGTCAGTAACAATACGTGCTTTACCCTTTCGGGAAGGTTTATTGTATGTCCTTGGACCAGCATTAGGTAATGGCATTATATCGAAAGGAGACACAGATTTCAGATTTGTACAATCAGATTTTGGCAGTGTTAAAAGAAGTGAGCCTTGAGACGATGCATCGTCTCAGGGCTCACTTCTTTTAACCCTGACGCTAACCCTAACCCTGATCGCAATGTAGGTGGGTTATTATCTTCTGATGTTAGTGGTCTATCAGTAACCTTTGATGGCAAAAAGTCTTCTTTCGAAAATATATTGGGATTCAGTGGATAAAGGCCACAAATTTTGAAACCATTTATTATATTGGATGGTGTAAACGCTTTTGTGTATGCCATTCCAGCTAGTTCTCCAATGTGATAAATAGTAATAGATTTTCCGGCATTTTCTGATGATATCATAAAATTGGTTACAGCGTTATTGTAATGTGTTTTAAATGGATTAAAGGCGGTTCTATCTAACGGCTGCATCTTAAGTGTAGCATGCGGGTGAAATTTCACCAAATGAATACCATTTTCTTTGTCGTTGCCAATAGCATCAATAGAAATGTGACTTGCGTGATTTTCCATTAATAAAACTACCTGGTTATCCTTACTTGGATGAGTATGTGCTATGAAATGATCCAAAAATTCACTAAATGTCCTTTCGCTCGCCATAAAGAGATTTACTGCCCCAACTGAAGAGCTCTTCTTATCATTGTCATTTGTATATATTTGACTCGAGGAAAAATAAACATAGGTGGAATCGAATTTCCTATCGCGTTCACTGCGGCAATCATCGTTACATTGATGCCTCGCTTTGATAACCAATCTTGTTGTCTAAATTTGTAATTTTACCAGTTCTAATAAATATATGCATATTGTGCTGTAATTTAGTAAAACTTTAAAAAAAAGTATTAATGGCACTTGTGAAGATGGTTTAATTAATAAGCTTTTAAGAAATAATTACCCCCAACGAAGGATTGAAATTGATAACATTTTTGACTTAAAAAATATATATATATTAAAACCAAAAAAAAAAAAAATATTTTTAATGGAATTCTATATGTTATGTTAATGTTATATCGAAAAAATAAAATTCAAAAAAAAAATTTATTTGAAAAAAAGCTCAAAAACCTATCAAAGTCACCGTTTGACGGTAATTGAAAGCCGAAAATTTGAAAAGGTAGCTCGTGGTCAATGAGAAATTTTTTATATTCGGTATCCATATGCTATTTTTAAAATTCAAATTTTACTGCGGTTCCGTATAATATCTTTCCACTTAGTAAGTCTGAACGACCGCCCAATGCAACTAAGGCATAGTACACGTTTTTTCGAGCAAAAATATAATTTTGTTTAACTGCAATATATGTAAGTTTTTTCATCAAAAAGTATGACATATTAGGTATTTATGAAAAGATTATTTTAACCACTATTATAATCTGGTAAAAGTAATGCGACTATAACAAATTATCAAGCGTAATTTTATTTAGAAAAGATGCAATTTTCAACATAAAGTACCTTGGCACTTGGCTATAGATAAGTCTATGAATTTGATTTTTTCATAAAAGCACGTGTTGGTGTTTGTTTTCAATGAAAGTAACTTGACATTTCTAATCAGACATTATTTGGGAAAGTTACCCATGAAAAACCATTTTTTTAAGAAATCTAAAGTTATTATATTCAATACCACACCTAAATGAGTATGTTTAACAATAATGCCACGTTAGATTTAGTTAACCTATGGTAGTGTTAATTTTTCTACTTAAGTCGTTTTTGCATAAATAATCATAAGTTTAAAAAACTGTTTTCGGTATTTAGTGTCATTTTTTGAAATACTCGGGACTTATTCGACCATCTTGAAATAATAAATTATTCCATTCAGAATACGTAAACAATTAAAAAACAGAGGCTGTAAACTTTCTAAATAAATTACTTTCAATTCGAATTCTTTGTTCGCATAAACTAAATACCAATAAATAGTTTTTCGGTTTGCCACTAACAACCAATCGGATTTGTTTTAAATTATCGATTTTATTTTTTTACGAGTTTGTTTGTTCTATGCCTTAGTTGCATTGAGCGAGTAAAGTATCTGAAAGAATGATAAACTGCTCAGTGTAATAAAGGCGATTTACAAAATATTCGAATACTTTTATTTGGAATTAGCATGATTTTGTCAGCATATTATGTCCAAACAAGATCTTTAAATGCTATAATTTTTTTGATTAAGGTTTTTAAATATAAAGAAACTTTTCTTTTTTTATATAATTTTCAAAACCTTTTTACTACCCGTAATAGTGTATCTAAAGAACACTATTTTGGAGTCTTTAGATCAATTCCGCTCATCGGCATTAATATAAATTTAGTTAAAATCTTTTAAAAAAGTTTCTTAATTAACTACTGATCCTAGTTTTAATCGGTTCTGACGTATATCAACTATATATAGTTGTCAAAACACAATATTTCTATCAATTTTCACAAAAAATACTGGAATTCCGACCAAGAAAGAGCTTATAATTATGGAAAATTGCCAATAAACGATCAGAACAGATCATATTATTAAACTATAATGTTCATTTCACCTAAGAAACTTGTTAATATAAAATCTTATTTAAATTTGGACGAGCGATTGTGATTTTAAGATGATTTAAAAAAAAAAAAAAAGAATCATCGGTCTGGATTTTTTTTGCTACAAACATTTTTATTTTATGATGGGAAACACTAAATGCAATCCTTTAAAGTGCTATCTAGATTTTACTCACTACCGATGCGATCTCCAATGGGATTATATTTTACTTAAAAATAAAAGAACTCTGAGATGGAGTGAAAATTTTTTGAATATTAATTTAGAAACTTTTTAAAAAACATTTTAAGAGAGAAAAATTAAAATTCCAAAAGAAATTAGCGGTGTAATATTTCTCTAATAAATTTAAGTTGTAAATACTTAGTTTTTAAATATCTTCGGTATAACCAAAATTAGGTATAAATTATATATAAATAAATGTTCGTGATTAAACAATCAATTTATAATAAATATAAATAAATCAACAAATGCTTTCATGCCTCTGGTTCTTCAAGAAACAATCATGACATAGAAACTCTGAAAACTGATTTAAACTTACAAAATGT